CTTCGTAAAATTTTATGAAAAATACAATAAATTAAAAATTTAATCTGCATGTACACAAATATACTTTTCTGTTACAGCTATACATTAAATTTAATTTAGTGTCATTGAATTTAATTTGTGTTACTTTTTTTTAATTAAAAATACACAGTACATTAAATAGAATCTGGATTCCTATAGAAACGAAAGATTCTCGAACGTGCAGGTATTACTAAAAGATATATAGGTTTGAATACTTTTATTAGGAGCAAAACTTAACAGAACCAGATAGACAGTCTGTACAAGCGAACAGAAATAACTGTAAGTGGTATTTTAGTAATTTTTATCGTATAATGCAAGGTCAAATATCCACAGTAAACGGACAGACTCCGGATACATGTAGAAACAGACAAATTCTTTATGCGCAGTTGATACTAGAGACAAATAAGTATTGAATGCTTCTACCGCGAGTAGAACCAAACAGAATCGGATGTACGGTTTGCCTATGTACATACGAACAGAAATAACTAAGTGACTTTTTAGTAGTTTCTATCGTATAATGCAGAGACAAATATCCACATTAAACGGATAGGTTATTTTCTGTATGCTTCTGTTTGACATTTTAAGTAGGGATTTGACCAACTTGCCTTTATATTCAAATAGCCCCGCTCTACTCTGTACTGTAAATACTGCAATATATAATTGTATGATAAAGTAATTAATTTGTATAAAATTACAAATAATTGTATAAAAAGATATTTGTATTTTTCACATATTTACTAACATAACATAACCTGTAATTATAAAATTGCCAAAAATTTTATAGAAATGTATTTATCTAATAAATCAGTAAATTATATAATTTCATTATATATGTATTATACATTTATATCTACATACACAGATATATACATAAACATATATTAGGAAAAACTGTCGTTTTATTATAATGTAATTAATTAGTGTTATATAAAATTGTTTATATAACAATTTTATATAACACTAATTTTAGTAATACCTGCACGTTCGAGAATCTTTCGTTTCTATAGGAATCCAGATTCTATTTAGTGTACTGTGTATTTTTAATTAAAAAAAAAGTAACACAAATTAAATTCAATGACACTAAATTAAATTTAATGTGTAGCTGTAACAGAAAAGTATATTTGTGTACATGCAGATTAAATTTTTAATTTATTGTATTTTTCATAAATTAGTGTTATATAAAAAAATATATATATAACCCTCAGTACTCACAAAGGGTTAACATACTCCCTCCCCCCTCCTCCCTACCCCCCACCGATTTTCATAGTTCAGACGGTTTTTTCCGAGGGGGGAGCCGACG